ACAGACACTTTTCCCCTCGACGCCGGAACACCGTGGATCCATGACACAAGCGACAATGTCTGGGTCGATTTTATCAAAAGTCCAAACAGATTCGATTAAACTCGCTCGGAACGGAACGATCGCGGCGCTTATCGACTCGTCGCCGGCGATAGGTGCGCGGAGGGGGGATTTTAGGGGAATTAGCGAGACGAAGACGGGCTGGCGGGTTTTATTAGAAATTCGGAAGACTTCTCGTTCCGCCGCGCCTTTCAATCGAGAACTCCCGGGGCCTGCGAGCGTGCAACCTGCTCGCGTGCAAACAACCGGCGCGCCGTGCTTTAGCGTCTAAATGGGTTGATTAAATATGTAATTTGTACATTCCACCGGAAAACTTTTTAGCCCGTTCCGCGCGGGTATGGAGGTCGTGTGTGGAGGAAGGAGCTCGCTAATGGCGAGCCCGGGATAGGGGGTGGGTTAACACTAACCGTACCGGCACTTTGTGTATACTTATTCCTTATCGTAACCAGTCGAATAACTGGCTACGAAAGGAAGGTAAACAGGTCGGATGATAAATTTGTCTTAATGGAAATGGGAACAACGGGGAGCACGGAAATTGAAAGACTAATTGACACGTTGACCGCGGCGGTCGTCGATGATCGGAGCTTAGAAATTACTTGAAAAGAATTGCGAGACAACTGATGTCGAATCCAAATATTCAGTAATATATTTGCGTTGTAACTGTATTTCTTTTTTCTTTGTGTTTGGCTAATTGTTTCTTTGGTACGTTTAGTTTATTTTTCTTTGTTTCGTTTCATATTTAATGTTTCGTGTAATACTGCGTGTTGGGTTTTTGATAAATAATAATACTTTCATTAAATGCGCAAACCGCAAGACACCGCAAACGTGTAAAGTATTTGTAACATAACAAAATCGCTACTCGAACAATAAACAAAATAAAATATGTTAAATACGTAAATGTATATCCATTCGGATACACTTTTCCAGCAGAAATATTAGGTGTAATGAAAATAAGTAATTGAATGTAAAATTTATTTGAAAAAGATTTACCATTTTGTTCGGGGTAGAAATTTAATTTATTTTATAGCTGTCATGTTTTTAAAAATAAATTAGCGAAATTAAATAATAATATAATAGTAATAATAATAATAATAATTAGATTAAAGTTGAATTGAACACCGTTGACATCAGAATAAAAATATGAATGTAGTTTCAATCGCAAAGAATGAAAAAATACTGAATTAACTTCTATGTTAAATAATATATATTCATATATAACTTCAAACAGTAAATTAATAAAATAATTTTAAACGATAATTAATAAATTTGTATTATCATTATACATTGCAATTGTTACCGAATACTACTCAAGATGCACTATTTAATACTCTGAAAGATAAAGTCATTTTTCATTTTTTCATTTGAATATCTTTAATGCTTATTCCCCGGGTTTACCATTCTTTAATGCCCCTCTGAAATCTCCGAAACTTTTACTTTCTCCCCGGCGAAAAATTTCTGCTCCTCGCTATCCGGTCGAAAGTCCCAAATCTTTTTCCCCCTCTCCCCAGCTCCTTTTACAGAATTTCCGTGCTCCCGATTGTTCACCGAACTTTCCGAATCTCCCGCTCCTCTCTTTTTCTTCGACTCTTGCTCCGTAATACCTCATAGAGATCAACGATTTTACTTGTTCCCGCTTTATACACGAAATTCTTTTTCCATTAGTAATGCCGAGATCGATATGTTTCCCTTTCTTCTTTGCGCTTATCGTGTACCAGGTTACAGTCGCAATCTGCGGAATCGTTCAAAATCGAAAGTAGTTAGTGCCCTCTTTGCCTGGTGTCCGGTGTCGGTGACCTTAGGAATAATCTGTGGGGAACGAGAGCAGAATTATGATCTTTTTTACTAAACATTTGGAACTATAGATGCAATTGATCGCAAGTTTAATTTAACTTATTTCACGTTGTACAATAAGCTACAATCTATTAGAAAATAGATGTTTAATACAATGATTGATATTTCTTCATTTAATAACAATTGAATCTCATGTTTTTCCACTTGCTCAAAATCTGACGACTGTTTTAAATTATCAAACACAACACTGCTAAGTAATATGATAGGGTAATTTCAACTCAAACTTCATTCAACGCAGATTCTATGAATACGTACAAACCTTTCAGTCAACGCATTCACAAAACAAAGATTAAAGTTCAATTTGAACTACAATTTAATTCGCAAGGTGTACAATATTTTTATTCAAAAATGTTATAATGAATATTCAATACACTGCTGTCATTTCAACTCACCGAAGTAGACGTTCAAAATATAGAACTGAAACTTCTTTCAAACGTCATTGATTATCAAATAACATACCGAACGAGTAATATTAAAACACAAATGAGAATCGTTAAATGGGATCCACGAACGAAGCTCAAGCGTCAATGTTAAAGTAACCATCTGTGCATCCCAGCTCGACTGGAAGATGTCTCTCGCGTTTTAGCACCGTTTGAAGCAGCCACGAGTGCACGG